AGGCTTTAACTAATTCTGTGTTGAGATTTGCTATTGAATAATCTAAAAAATGCCACTGTTCAAGAAGATGATGGTTCCCGCAAAGCAACTGCCATGCTGGTTCCTCTCTGTGCTTTCTCAGGCTGCACTGAGTTATTTCTAGGGAGAGAATCTGGTTTTTGGAAACTTAAAACATGTCTACATGATTCTATGTAGGTAAATATAAATGGTAAAGAAAATTCCAAGATGTTAGACTTGGAAGATTTAAACTGTAATCATAACATTAGAGAAATAAAGTGAAACCTAGAATAAGGTCACCAAAGCCTTGATGAGGAAACAATGTTTCTCTTCCTGCTTTCTACTCTCAGTCTTCAGCCAGTTGTGACTGTGTTTCTTGTGACTGGTGCATGTGAGAATAACAAAGCTGTTCTCACCACTATGTTATACTGAGATAATTGCAATTTTATTGAAGACTACTTCAGTTACTCTTTACATGATGTTATACTGGGTAATCCTGTCAGGTGAGTCGTAGAAACCAAGGTGAAGCCTCAGTAACTCATACAGAAATGGGTGACATGCCACATGAAACATAGCCTTATTTATTTACTTGAGAGAATGGAGTTATAGAGATGTGTGTCTTTAGAAAAAGAGCCTTTCATAGTGACTCCCCTTCCCTTGACCAACATCAGATCTATTGAGACCTGCTCCCTACTGCATCCAAAGACACCGAAGTCTGTTCTGATTCTTAGAATCTCAAGTAAGTTCCAGGTAGCTTGACAGCCAAGATCTTTTGTCCTTACCTACGAACAGCTAACAGTTGAGATATCTTAGAAGTCAAAATAAAAATATACATACCCAAGCAGCTAAGAACAAGGGCAGAGAAGAAAACTAGCCATTTGCCTGTATAACACATGTGACTTCTTGAACTCATAATTTCTAAGATTCCACAATCTTCTTACATACAATTTGAACATTCTACTAACTCACTACATCTCCATCCCTTGAACATACAATTTCGATATATTCTCAATTACATTCCTGATTTTATTGATTTCAGAATTTAGCAATACAATTTAATGTCAATTAATATATTTCCTTATATCTTTTTTTTCTAAGCATAAGTGAAAGTGGCAATATAAAGTACTGAGAGATCTTTAAATTGGGTGGCTTATACAAATAAAATTGTTTAGCATATGAACCCAGTATTGTGAGCCTTAGGTCACAAGACACACTCAGTAAAACCTCATGTGTGATTGCCCTGAGCTACTCTGCATGGCAATTTAATGTTGATATAAACCTAAATTTGCTCACACAGAAGAAAGAATTTCTATCCATTAGGGTATATGATGACTAATCTACTAGACGAAAATAATTCATAATCTGTTGTCAAACCACAAGCAAACAACAACACACAGGCCCTGTCCTTCATCACCCTTGGGAGGACAAGAGTTCAGGCTGGTTTACCCTCATCTCTTTGTTACTTTCATGTGCATCTCTGTGCAGAGGGCATAACAACAAAGCACTCCTGATAAATAGAGTGGAGGCACACAGAAGCGACCGGTGACCAGGAGCTGCCCAGTCTGACATCTCAATAATAAATCTTTTGTGTTGGTAAGACCGCTGGCTTCTGTAGAGCTTCACAAAGAAGAGTAGACTTGTGACAATTTAGGACAAATGTGATTATCTTTGCTCAGCCTTCTTCTGGGCTAAAAGTTCTCAAAGGGGATTTTGTGGATTTGCAAACAAACACAAGGGCAGAAAGCTGGGCAAGAAAGTCTGACTGATGCTTCCTTGCAGAAGAAATACAAAGTCTAGGGCACTGGACTTGCCTAGCTGTGGTCCAGGTTTCTCTGAAAGTCAATGTTGAGTCCTCCAGTGTTTACTGAGAGCATTGTGCCAAAGCTGTGCTCACTGCACTGCTGAGAGCAGGAAGCTTTCACTTGGTTTGTTTTGTTTGTTTGTTTTTATCATGAGCTCCTTAAGAAACTTGACAGGATTGCTGGATAGAGAGACAAGGCAAGATTGCTCCATTTAAAAACGTGCACGTTTTTATTCATCAGATTAAGCAATAAACATTCCCCTTTTCATCAACAAAATTGGAGCTAGTGGGTTAGATTTTTTTCATTTTTACCATAGATAAGAATTGAAAGTAGAATAGGGAAAATGTTTGAATATGGGCTCTTGTTGACATTTGATACACCAGGATTAGAAAAGAATGATACTCTGAGATATGATCATTCAAAAAGCCATATTTAGATAAGTCTGCCTTTACATCTTCAGAGGCATCAGAATCATCAAATAGGTAGCATATTGTTTGATCAATGATACTCAGAGAGTAAATATACGCAATAGAAATTTAAGAGCAATTATAGACATGCCTGTTAGTGGAGAGGCATTATATAGTCTGCTATGTGGTTTTCTTAAAGACAAATATGATTTTTACATTTCATTTCTAATTGCAATCCTTGAGTACTTCCTCACTGTATACTTAATAACATCCAGGCACCTTGGCCTTCTATGAAAGCCTCTCTTGGTCTTTCCCTAATTTACTTTTCCAACATTTTCCTTTACTAGTTTAATTGATCCCAGTTTTCATTGAAACAGGCTTTGTCTTGGTTCTCTCAGTATGTTTTGCATTGCTCTATTTGTTGTACTTTTTCCCTAATTTCCAGCCCCCGAGTTATTTCATCTCATCTTTCCACATGTGCCCTGGCGCTGCCTGTCACTAACAAGACGGAGAATCGAATCTGCCGCATCCCAAACACCTCTCTTCGTTTTCCCCGTGTGCAGAAACTCCAGCAGAGGTTCCATCCGTGGCTCTCCAAACCTTTCTAAAGAATTTATCCTGTTTTCTTTGTAAAACTACTTATTTCTTAACGATTAAACATATATTAATTAAGTAAGCACCAGATTGGCGGTACTGTATAGAATATTTTAATCGCCCGGGCAGTGGTGGCGCACGCCTTTAATCCCGCTCTCGTAAGGCAGAGGCAGGCGGGTCTCTGAGACAAGCTTGGTCTAAAAGAGCTAGTTTCGGGACAGGTACCAAAACTACAGAAAAAACTTGTCTCAAAAAACCAAAAAAAAAAAAAAAAGAATATTCTATTCAGCGAAGGCACCAAGAAGTTTCTAGTGCTAGCTTAAACTAGCTAGAAATTTAATGCTATTGCAGATTTTATTATTATCAAATGCAGAAAATCTGAACTGCATGGATGACAAACAACAACAACGAAATCACCTAAAGCCTTCCTCCTCTGTCTCCCCTGAATTTAAGGGCTTCCTGTTTATACAATTGTATTTTTATTGTGTCTGTGCATATACGTATGATTAGATATTTATATATGTAACCATAAGCTCGTGTGTATTACAGACCTATTCTATTCTTCATAATGCCTTAGAATCATTAAGCTATAAAGAGATAGTTGCTGGGCAGTGATACACATTTAATCCCTGAACTCAGAAGGCAGAAGAAGGTGGCTTTTTGCTAGCTCAAGCCACGATGATCTACACAGTGAGTTCCAGGCCAGTCAGGGTCACAAAATGAGACTCAGTGTTAAATATTTAAAAAGGAAAACGAGTGAGACAAAAATCTGTTAGATGTTATGATTTGTTGACTAAGTACATGAAGTATTTCATTCAAGATTGATGCCTTTAAAGTTTAAAATTATCCTTTAATTTATATGGTTGTATCTTATAAATCTAAAATAAATAAATAAATAAAAGAATACTTCTTTTGGTTGATCAAGAGATATCCCTGTTCAATAGGAAGGAATGAAAGAGATGAGTCACAGTGAGTTGCACTTGGTGTATGGTCTCTGAAGACAGGAGGCTCATTGGTCTTCCTTCTGTGTCCTCTTCATTTTTTGAAGAACACAGTATATATGGGTACATACATACATATATATATATATATATATATGTGTGTGTGTGTGTGTGTAGATATATGTGTGTAGATATATTGTATATGGACTCAGTTTTCTTACTTAGAATTGTCATCCAGACATTCTCCTTCAATTTAGTCTAGATTAAAGACATTAAGTAGAGAAGGTATGTACTCGATAGTCAAATACCAAACTTCTCAGTTAAATTTTTCATTAGTTTTCTAGAATTTGGGATGAGAAAAGACAAAAGATTTATATGGCATTGTTAAATGTAAGTAGAATAGTGGAAAATGTATCTAAGAATAATTTTGATTGAAATAAATTATTAATGTATGCATTCCATGAATCATTTGCATTCTATTCTTTATGAGCACAGGAAAAAGCTAGCTTATTTGAAAACATTTTTTATGTTCTTATAAATTTAATGTATAAAGGGACACTCTGGTCATTCTGTTTATTTGAAGAGGATGTCTATGTTTGGCTCAATGTTTAAAACTATTTTAAATAAATGCTTCTGAGAAGAAGTAATGTATGAAAATGTAAGTTAATACTGAGAATTATTTTCATATGCATGTGTGTGTATACTTATGGTTCTTCGATAATTAATTAATACTACACTAGTTTGCGGAAGACCATTTTTATTCTATAATTAAGCCTATTTTGAAAATATGAAAACATGGTTCTTAAGTACCAATATGACATATAAGTCATTCTAACAACTATTGAACCCAAGTTGCCTGGCACTATACTAAACACATTACACAAAACTTTCCATTTGATCATCAAAATAGCTGAATTTCAAGACATTAAGCATGTTTTATCAATGACAAACTGGAGATGTGTTAGCATTTTATAGGTCATGAACGAAAACTTGGCAGACACAGCATTTGGCCCCAGGCTGCTTTAATTACTGCACTCTGTGTGCATTCACTCATTCACCAGGGTTAAAATGCTCGTGTTGCTTTCATTTAACCGTAAGGAAACATTTCTGGTTGAGTGAGGAACTAACTTTTCCATGACTGAGTAGTGCCTTTTAAAAAGGGCGTGTTCCTAAGGTACCACCTGTAAACCTGGCCAGGTTTAGTTAGTTGTAGATTCCTCTCGGTAACTTTTTAACCTTTTTGTTTCCCTTTCTTTTAGAATGATGTAGGTGGGCAACGAAGTCTGATAAACAAATGGACAACTTTTCTTAAGGCGAGATTGATTTGCTCAATTCCTGGAAGTGATGGGGCTGATACTCATTTTGATGAACTGCGTAAGTCACATGTCCCTTGTTCTTAGAAAAGTCTTTGGACTTTATCAAGTAATTCAGCATGTGTTTATGCTAGCATCATCAGGCAGATACATCCATTCACAATTAAATGCAGCCTGAAGGAATTGTTGTTACTAAATGACATTCACACATGCAAAGCTTATGTTTTGCCCTCAGTCTGGAGGCACAATATTCGAAGTATGTCTGTATTCAAAAGAACCTCAAATTTAATAAAGGATGTATAATTGCAGTAATTAGAAGATTTAGACCAATAGGCTAGAAAGTCCAACCATTCTTTCCTCTTTCGTTGGTGTAATCAACTTCCTCCAGATGGAAAGAGTCTGGGTGGATTCCTTGTTCCTAGGATGCCCTCTGCTGGGGAGTGTGGAAGATTTGTTGACCGTGGTCATCCACTCAAAACATATTTAGAGAGACTGCAGACAGATTTCTTTTCATTTCTTCTTTTTTTAGTCCTCTAAAATCTAGTTCTGAAAATATGTTAGTTACACATAAAGTCAAGATCATTAGTTTTTATCTTCTAATTTTATTTTCGAGCGTGCAGAATGGTTACGTCCTCTCCTTATTTCCTCAGTAGTATATGCTTTACTCATATTGAAAATAAACACACCCATAGCTCACATAATTCTGTAAAACATTTTACTCCTGAGTAAATTGGGAGCATGGGGACCTTGGGAGAGTCTTGAAGGGGAGAAGAGAGGCAGGGAGGGGAGCAGAGAAAATGTAGAACTCAATAAAATTCAATTAAAAAGCCATTTTAATGCTGTATCCACTGCACATGCTCGTATTTTCACATTGACAGACGAGGCTCAACCCACTGCAGCATAACATGTTTTTAAACTGTTGGGTAAAATGTACCTTTGGTCTCTGGTTTCCATTTTAATTGGAATCACAAACCCTTGATTGGAAATAGTCATGGAGACTGCCAATTGAGTCATCCCATTTACCCTTGGTTGACACATCTCACTAAGAGGTTATGTCACATAGCTTGTGAGAAAGCCTTTACCCTTAAGTGCTTAATACTGTAGTGATTCATCTTTATGTTATGTGTTGCTTAGAGTTCTTGAACTATTATATATTATTAAAAAGCAAATGTACTACTGCAAAACAATAGTATATGGTGCATAATTATTTTTCCATTAACAGAAGACATTTATTTACTCCCTACGAGAGATGAAAGAAATCCTGTAGTATATGGAGTCTTTACCACAACCAGGTAGGTTGAACACAAGTCTTTTTTTGTCTAACATATGAAGATATTTATTCTAAGGAGTATTGCCAGGCAATTCCAAAAAACCAAAAGTCAAGCTATTGGGAAAGGGTAGGGAGGTGAATTCTCAGCATAGCACAAACTACTTCAGTGATAGAATCTGAGCATATTTTAGCTGGGTTTTATAATGTTTGTGAATTTATTCAATCAGGTTCACCCAGATTATCAAAGATCATCTCACTAAAATTAGCTGATCATGGAATTTGAATGTATCTATTAAATACATTCATCTGAGTAATAATTCTTTTGTTTGAATAGTTGACTATGTTAGCCTGGTGAAGCTGACACACCTATTTGCTACCTATTTGATTTGTGTATGTTTATCTGGGCAGAATAATGAGGATCTTTGTGGCCATGTCAAACTCTCATATCTTGCCAGTCTGATGCCAGTCCATTCTGTACTCTTACTTCAAGCTTTAAAAAGAGCTTTCTTATTTATATACTTTATTATCATGTGTTTGTGTCCATGTGTGTTTAAGTGCAAATGTGTGCGGATGCCCACAGAGGCCAGAATATGGCATCAGATACAATACAAGTGTGTGCGGATGCCCATAGAAGCCAGAATATGGCATCAGATATGATACAAGTGTGTGCGGATGCCCATAGAAGTCAGAATATGGCATCAGATACGATACATACTTTGTGATTGGATTAACAGGCAGTTGTGAACTGCCTGCATTGGGTGTTGGAAACCTAAATATAATCCCCTGAGCCATTTCTCCAGCCCCAAAGAGAATGCTTTTGTCCTTGAAATTTTTTTATGTATAGGAGCCAAACAGTTGTCAACTAGTTTGTTTCACAAGCGTTTGTGTGCTAATACCCGCCCACGATGCTTCATCTCTAGCCCCGCATTAGAAGCTACTCTAGTAATCACTGTGACCAAACACTCAAAAGAAGCAATTTTTAAGCAAAATGACTCACCCTTCCAAGATGTAATTCATTATGACGTGCCCCGGGAGCTTGCTCACACTTGAGAAAATTATGAAGCAAAGCAAGACAAGGGCCAAAAGCAGAGTGGGGCTATAATCATCAAGGTCTACTCCCCAGACACCTACTTTCTCAGCAAGGTCCCACCTCCCAACCTCAAAGAACAGCACTACTTACTTGGGAACAGTTATGTAAAAGAAAATGAGTCTGTTACTGGTACCTTATGTTCAAACTATTACAATAGCTGTATGTTCTTTTTAATTTTACTTCATAGTTGTGTAGCATAAATATTTTTATCATTGGACCAGGTTTTAGTGTCTTAGAAATGTATTCATATTGGTTCTTTTCATCACAGCATGGTAGCTCTATCCTAATTACCACAGATAGCGTTCACCCAGCCCCCAGTACATTCCTGCTGTTTTCAGGTTGTTTTTTTTTTTTTTTTTTTTTTTTGCTATACCCAATGCATCAGTGACTCACCTGTGCTCATGCCATATCTCTAATATGAAATCACAGTATAAAATGGTTAGGTAAAAAAACATATGCATATAATATTCATAATTAGTGCTTTCCATATGTGTAACCATAGAGGAAGAAATACACGAATGAGGGACCGAGTTAATTGATGAAGCTGTAATCCATCAAAGGACAGAACATTGTTGACTTCAAACCATCTATATCACAACCCCCTTGTCACCCTAACGAGTAGACGTGGCTGCTCTGTGCAGTCCACTGAACTGCTCTCTAAGATTAGTGGTCAATTCCTATCAATAACGCCAGCCTAAAGCTTGTCCTTATTTTCATACCTATGTTCTTGTCTGGTTTCTGCATAGTGCTGCCTTGTAATATCGTTGAGATTGCATGACTTCCAAGAGTTTGTAGTGGCATCTACAAACCCTTTATAAAGGTGTGGCCTCTTTTCTCTTCATCCTGTTTTATTCATTGACTTCCTTTTGACTCTGTTTAAGGGACACAGACCTTTTCACAGTATGTCTAGAATACTTCTCGGTTTTGCATGTATCTTCCCTTAACTCTTTATTAATGAAAGAAATGACTCTGGTGTCTCTATTTGAATAAATTTATCGTATTTTTCTCTCCATGGTGAGCCCCTTATAAGCTTGAATTTTTTGAGGATTCAAAATATATCAGCAAACAAAGAATATTTGATCAATTGTGGGACCTAAGAGAAAAATATTTTAATGTGGATATTATGAAGACACCCCAAGAGCTGCTGTTTGGGAATCCATTTTTCTATTAATGTGCAAAGAACATTAAAAAAAATGCAAGAGGAGCAATTGCCTGAAGTGGCTCAAGTATCTCAGCTCTAGTTTTCTTGGCCCCTTTCCATGCAAAATTCATCTTTGAAGTTGATGTGTGTTCCACACACAGATGTAGATATGTGCCAGGGAGACAGAGCCCTGAGATACTTCTTTCATTTTTTTCCTATCAAATTTCTGCCCACCCAGGGTGTAAAGTTACAAAACAGCTCTTTGTCCCTTTGTGTTCTATCTTGTTTTATTTTTAATGCTGCCTTGAAGACTGAGGTCATTTTAGAATGCATGTCATATCTTTTGTCTAGTGAAAAGACATAATTACCCTTTGATAATGGTGCATTATTTATTTAAAATATAATAGACAGAAATGTGATTATTATCACAATATCACTTTCCTCCTATCTGCTTGCTTACCATTACCTTCTGGTGTTTCCCATTGACACCATTCCAAGACTATTAATGACTGAGCTTCCAAATGCTGAAGAATCATTAGTTTGTGTAAAACAGGAATAACTTCATTCAGTCAGAAAGGTCCATCTTAGTTTTAAGAGTAAGCCTCAAAGAAAATTTACTTTACTTTCCAGGAATAAAGCAAAAAAGAAATCCCTGAAAGGTGCTAACAGTTGTCATCTCTGTCTTGTACAGTTTTAGAATTCCTGGGAAAATTTTAGCTGCTTAATATGTTTGCTAAAACCACATGATTATGACCACATTAAGAATTAAGTAGACGACTGCAATTCATAAGCCCAGTTCAAGCAATGAAAGTTTATTTCTTCCTTAAAAATGGTTTTAACAAAATGATGTGAACAACAAATTCCTTATCCAAACTCTGGACATGCACGCACTTTTAGTGGAATGACAAAGGCCAAGAAAATGTTTAAGTCAGCAAACACACCTGCAATGAGTCTGACAACCTTAGATAAATGGTATGGCCTTTAAAAATGATTACTGTTTTAAATACAGATAAATAACTTCTTACATTTTAATATCTTTGTAAGTATTATAATGATTTAAAAAACTAAACAATATGTAAGTGAGCATCATATTTAATCATTTCTAGCCTACAGTTTTTCTGCATCATTGGTCCTCAACATGTTCGTTGTGACCCCTCTTGGATCACATATCAGATAGCCTGCATATCAGATATTTACGTTGTTATTCATAACAGTAGCAAAATGACAGTTATGAAGTAGCAGTGAAAATTATTTTATGGTGGGGGTCACCACAGCATGAGGAACTCTATTAAAGGGACACAGCGTTAGGAAGGTTGAGAACCACTGTTGTAACCTGTCCTGTGAGGATCCATGATGATCCACTTCCGCACCCTACTTGCTGTACACTTCCATTACCCACCTGTAAGGAGTTATCATCCTCACATGCCAATCACAATTACTTGCCTACAAACTCCTTCAAGACATAGACACATATTTTGGCAATGCTTATCAACTAGAATGTGCATCTGTTCTCCACAAAGCTCTTGGGTGCAGTTATGAGCACACAGGGTGAATGACTGGATCATGTTCCTTTCTTTCAGCTCCATCTTCAAGGGCTCTGCTGTGTGTGTGTATAGTATGGCTGACATCAGAGCTGTTTTTAATGGCCCCTATGCTCATAAGGAAAGTGCAGACCATCGCTGGGTCCAGTATGAGGGAAGGATACCTTATCCCCGACCAGGAACGGTATGTACCCAACTGAATAACTGAATTATTTCCCTCATTTCCCACTCAACTCCTAATTCTCCTATTACCAACTCTGACGTTTCTTAAAACCACATGCATTTACTGTTGACTTTGAAATAATGTATTTGTTTATAGTGATGTATTATTATTTCTATTATTCAAGTAAAGTTAAAAGTTTTTGAATGACAACTTTAAGTTTTAAGGAACACAGTGGACTAGGTTCTGGTGTTTGTATTGTGATGTTATTACAGAATTTTGCTTGGATATATCAATTTAGTTGTCCAGAATGCAAAATCACATGAAAATGTCAAATGAATAATTGTTTTGTTTCTTCATCTCTGCATATATTTTACATATGCCTCTAGGATTTCTTAGTGTCTGGTTCTTCTTTTAAAAGCTCTTGATATGCATCTGTTTTTTATTTATTATGCTGAACTTTGAAATAATATACAATTCTTAGAGTAGAAGAAATTCTTAATAACTTAGAGTACAAGAAAATTTAATGGTATATACCTGTAATCACAGCAGCCTGAAGGATGTAGTAAGAAGATAGTGAATTTGAGGCCGGTCCCTAAGCAGCTGGCCCCTAAGCAGGCTACATAGGGAGGCTACTGGTAAGAGTGGGGAGGTGGAGGGGAGGAGGACTCATCTTAGTCCATATTTATTTTCAAATGGTGTAAACCATATTTAAAGACAGATGAGGAAAAGTAAAATGTATTTTATAATTTATGCATTTGCTTAAAAATGGGCTTGGGAGATGGTTCCCAGTAACTGTGAAAGCGAGAGGGTCTGTGGATAAATCCCTGAATACCAGATAAAAAACTGGATGATGCACCAACCATGATGATGCACGCCTTTAATCCCAGCACTTGGGAGGAAGAAGCAGTCAAATCTCTGAGTTCTGAGTTCAAAGCCAGTCTTTGAGTGAGTTCCAAGACAGCCAGGGTTACCAAGAACCACCCTGTCTCAGGAAAAACAAAAACAAAAACAAAAAAACAAAACTTGATGCTGTAGTACATGTCTGTGATGCCTCCCACTTCTGAGGAGGCAAAGATAGGAAGACCCCTTGGGCTTTCTGGCCAGCCAATCTAGCCAAATTCCTGAGCTTCAGGATCAATGAGAGACATTGTCTTCAAAAATAAAGCAATTGAAGACACCCATATTGACCCTGAGCTTCATATACAGGTGAACATATATACATGTGAACATAGACATGAGCACACACACATGTACCCACAAATAACTGAAGAGCACACGTCCGTATATGCTTTATAAACAAGTTTCCTTAAACCTTAGTATCAAAAAGGTTAATGTCTTATATGTCTACTTAAGGAAAACTAAATATTTCCACCAAGACATCTAAAATAACCATCAAGAGAAATTTTAACCCTTTAAATTCTACTTTATATAGCCCTTTCGTGCTTATTATTAAGGTGAAATATTGGTAGTTGGATTTTCTTATTTTCCTGATTTCATGTTACGTAGTGTAACTGAACTTGTATGTATTATCATGCAGCTATTTCTATTATTATTATTATTTCTCAATATGAAAAATTTCCAGGATATTTTGTCTTAACTAATAGGAATTCATTATTCTTTTATTTTAATTAACTAATTTATTTGGGAGGGTATTTGTTATTTCTGTGGATAATTTTATATTTGTATTATGTTGCTGTTTATTTATTTATATATTTGGAAAGAAGGTGACTTTTTCTGGGGAAATGTGAAAACACCAGAAAGAGCCCCTTGAGAGAAAAAAAAAAAAAACAAAGAACAAACTATTATATCTGCAATCTCCAGCTAGATTGGAGATCAATGGGTTTACTGGTGTCACTTACATGAGTGAAGATTTCCTTCAGGAGCCAGGGTGACTCTCAGGCAACCACGTCACTGAAAAAGTCCCACCTCGCCTGGGATATAACTTCTTACTTAATTTGCTGTTGTAAGCCAAACGTTGGGGGCCATCTGTGGTAAACTGCAAGTTGGGCCAACATCTGTTGGAGCTCAGCCTGGATGAAATTTGCACGTTCCAGAACAGGATTAGAATTATTAAGCAAAAGGGAGAGAGATGTAAGAGACATAAATAAAGGACATTGAGCCTATAATTTGTGATCCTAGAGAAGCTAAATAAGAAGGTGAACCCAAAGAAAAACACATAGGCATCCTCATGAATATTAACCTTCATCAGGCAATGAAAGGAGACAGAGACAGAGACTCACATTGGTGCTACCGGACTGAAATCTCAAGGTCCAAATCAGGAGCAGAAGGAGAGAGAACACGAGCAAGGAACTCAGGACCGGGAGGGGTGCACCCACACACTGAGACAATGGGCATGTTCTATTGGGAACTCACCAAGGCCAGCTGGCCCGGGTCTGAAAAAGCATGGGATAAATCCGGACTCGCTGAACATAGCGGACAATGAGGACTACTGAGAACTCAAGAACAATGGCAGTGGGTTTTTGATCCTACTGCACGTACTGGCTTTGTGGGAGCCTAGGCAGTTTGGATATTCACCTTACTAGACCTGGATGGAGGTGGGTGGTCCTTGGACTTCCCACAGGGCAGGGAACCCTGATTGCTCTTTGGGCTGACGAGGGAGGGAGGGGGACTTAATTGGGGGAGGGGGAGGGAAATGGGAGGCGGTGGCAGGGAAGAGACAGAAATCTTTAATAAATAAATAATTTTTTTTAAAAAAAGAATACTTATAACATGACACTTGTAAGCACACAGTCATTCCCCGAAATGGCAATTAGTTACTCCCACAAACCAGAAGATGCATAGGTTAGTGTTTTTCATCAGTGATAAAAGAGAAAACAAAATATGTCAAATATGCTGATATCTGCTGCTCTACCCTCAAAATAGTTATGATCAAATTTTGAAATGACGAAAAGAATGCCTACGTTTTTAAATTTTTTTCCTTATTTGCTCAGTTAGTTTTCAATGATTCTTTACTATTTTCTTTGATTTTAATGATCATCCTGTTTCTACCTTGCAAATATTTTATTTATTGAAAATAAATTAATTTAAATTGTAATGCTGATGTTGAGTTGGGAATATCATGTAGTTGATGTGAAAATGTATTACACAAGTGCTTTTTACCAAATGAACTTTATCACTTTAAATAACCACATTCGTAAAATCAGTGAAATTAGGTTTCACAGACTATCAAGTGACCACCCTTGTAAAATTTGAGAATGTACGAGTTAGAATGAGTGATAGAGACATCATAACTCACCCTCATATTACACTAGAGGAAATTAGTGTCCAAAATAATTAAATAGTATACCCAATCTCATATTACTCAAGCAGCAGACTGAAAGGGCTGGCTGGGCGGAATTTTACAGTCAGTCCTTCCCTTGTCCTGTGATATAATATTTACCTTGTTCTTAACATTTCCCTCACAAATATATGCCAACATACCCTATCTAAAACTATATTTATTTTATATCATTTTCTGCCGTACTCTCCTATCTGTGCTTATTAAAAGTACAAAACTATACAGCTATGGTCTTCCTTCAATTCAGACATTTTATTTAAAATTGCAACTGAACATTGCTTATGACTGACACTCTCATAAATACTTACAACTAGAATCTTGAATGGTTTCTGCTAGGCCTGGTCTGTCCTCTAGACAAGTATAATGATGCTCCGTAGCCTTGCAACACTTGATATTTTTATTTTAATGTAGGGAAATACTAACTTCAGTGAAAGATTTGCTGAATGCAGAATTTGCTTCTTGTACATTGGTTAGAGTCTTTGGTTTTGTATATTCTGTATCCATATTACTTTTATGATTGAACACTGAGTTTATATCCCAGGAGGGACCTTAGTTAAATGCTTACAGGCACGGGCCATTTTATCTTGTTTAATTTCCTCGGTTTAGGTAGGATGTTGTACCACTGTGGATCAATGCCAAATCTCAATTCCTAGTCCATGATGACTAGTTAATAAACCTGCAAAGTCACAGAGATTTTCCCCATGTGATTCTTCTGCCCTCTGGTGTCTGGAAAGATCAGCTAGCAAACCATGTTTTGTTCAGGTGAATTTGTAGGATCTTTACTTTTTTGTTTGTTTGGTACAGTGAGGTTCTGACTGAAATGAAACATCAAAACAGAAGTTAAACAAAGAATGGTACAAATCAGACATGAAAGCCAAACTGAATGCAGGATAAAAACAATAGTCTCAGGAAGATCTGTGACAGATGATTTCAATTTTGAGATTTGATCTATTAGAAATAATTCAATACAATTTTAGCAAATAAAGAAGTTTATTTTACAGTTTTACTTTGTGTTGACAAGGAATTTGTGTGTGTGTGTGTGTGTGTGTGTCTGCTGTGTTTACTTTATATGTGTTATGTGTATACATGTGTGTATGTACATCTGGAATTCTGAAGCTGGTGTTGGGTATCTTTCTCTATCACTCGCTGTATATTATTATTTTGGAGGAAGGCTTTCTCGGTGAATCTGGAGGAGATCACAAAATTGCCAGTACTGTCTTATATCTTGCCAGCAAGCCCTAGGTATCCTCTTCTCTGTACCTCCAATGCTGGCATTACAAGTGTGTTCAAACAAAACTGGCTGCTTGGGATTGGAATTCATGTTCCTCACATTGGTGTGGCTAGCATTCTATGGACTGAATTATTCCCCAACTCCTGGTAAGGAATTTTTGTAATTTGCATATTAATGTAAAATGCTGCCCATTGTTGACTGAGAAGGAGATTTCAGTTTTAAAGCATTCTTCTGTCCAAAGCTGAAAAGAACATTGACTTTTACATGTGATCCACTACCCAGAAACGATTTCTAGCCAGTTTTCAAATTTTGTAAAAATAGTAATTCACCTTTGATTACTTCCGAAATGACCACTGTGTTTACAGTCAACATACTTGGTTGCTTTTTAATTATCAAAACAAAGGATTCTTCCGACTAATCCTCTCTTTTGTTGTTTGAGACTAAATGGAGTCGAAGGTAATATCATTGATTTTCATAGCTTTCGTTTTCCAGGTGGACACTGTTCATGGAGAATTTTGTGAATTTCTTGGTTTCGAAGTTGGCAATAGCACTGTACCTCGAGATGTACATCATTCTAAACCTGAACCTTCAAGGAGTCTGACACCACAGACATCACAACCACCCCACGACTAACTAGATCTAGGCTACTTCTCCAGAAACAGTCAGAGTCCCCTTATTTTAAACATATATTCACTTTTCACCCTGGTTTTCGGCTGTTTAAAAGGCACAACCTTGGTTTCTCAACCGGGTCCCCAATTTTCAAACTACCCACTATATGCAATAATATTTTGGTTTTTCTCTTATGGGAATTGCTGTAAGGGAAAGGGTATCTGATGGACAGGGAGCAAGGTTCAGAAAGTTCAAGTTCTTTGGATTAATTTTTGCATAGTTTATTACACCTTAATGACTATGTATTAGGCAGATCTCCCCCACCCCCCCCACACACAATCACTAATAAAGGGTCTTTTTTGTTACTACACCCCAACGGCTATATATTAATCAGATCGCCTCTCCCCATCTGTAGTTCCTAATACAGGGTTTTTCTTTACAGATCTATTTCAGACTGATCTTTAGAGGAATAATCGGGGGATAAAATTCTACTTACAAAATGTGCATTTTCAAACTAAAAAAAAAAAAGTATTTCTTTTACCTATCACACATAAATCGCCCTGTTTATTTCCCCCGGTTTGGTCTCTCCTTGAGCTATGACTTCCCTCACGCTCCTCATTCCTCTGATTACCTTAAGAAGAAAACAGGACCTGGAGAGCTCAGAAAGCAGCTGACAGTGATGAGCGGATAAACTTCACAGCTGTCTGGTGCCTTGCCACAACAACGGTCTCTCAAAAAAACATTTTTCTTTTCTTCTTATCCACCGCTTCCCGCTGCCCTCCCGAAAGCCCTACACAACCACCCAGACCTGCCAATGATTACAGGGACACACCTAGCCAACTGCAGCCCTCTGACACAGCCAAGACAGCAGGGCGGGATGCTGAGGGCCGTGCCCTAGCATCTCCGGGTTTGTCTAGGCGGACTGTCTTCTCTCTTCAATTCGGGCACATATCCAGCAATGTTTTGGCGTTTTGAAGCCTGACTGAGAGCTTTCTGTTCAATCTTCTTCTTCTCTCGATGTTTAAACTGAGCAAAGAGAAATCGGGTAACCGACCATAATTCCTGTTTTTCATAGGCGGCAAATGCATGCCATGAAAGCACAGGAAGCAACTAAAGATGCTTTGTGGGGTGGGATAGTTTGATGAATGATGTCAATGGTTGCGAATTTAAAAGATTATATGCATGTCCCACAGTAACACCTAGGATATGCAGCTTCAGTGGGAATCCTTAAAGGAAAATTAATAACCAAATATGGCTTTTCTTAGATGTGGTATTTCTTTACAATTTGTTTGTTTGTCCTTTATGTGACTTTCTTTAATGTTTTCCCTACATAGCAGCTGGGCATCTTCTTTTGTGAATTATGTACTTTGAAACTGTGGCTACTGTGTAACTACAGATGCAAAGTTAAGCTGAAGGGCTCTTTCCAACATGCGATGCAGGCAAAATCTTGCTTTTAACGATAAATCAATCAGATTGAACTGAAGATGTTAAGAGATATGAGACCCTTCAGAAATAGCCACCGAGTAAAACTCAAATGTGCATCTCTAGTCGGCAAAAAGCTTAGTATTATCTGTGCCTATCTCCTTTTGAAGTCTGACTCAGTCTACTTAATAAAGGGCTCCTTCCGCAGTGCAGTTGACAGATTCTCCTTGGGTGAAAGGGAAATGCAGAAGGCAGTGAGGGAAACACAGACTTTGATCTTCAGACCGACATTCAGTGGCAGCATGCAAATGGCTGACGATGCAGGACATATCCCTTTCGTGAGAACCCGGGACAAATGGCTAGACATCAGCAAAGGATCAGTTTCTTAGTGGAAGACATGAAAACTTTTGTAGAAGATAGAGACTCTCAAATTAATTAGAAAATCATTAACGGGTCTTTTAAATGTTTAGTACAACTTCTTGGGTAGACACTGTCTTTCATAATGGGTCATTATGATTTTATTGGTATGAAATTTGGAGTTAAAAGCTATTTATGATCAGTTCCTTCATGATCATAAGCTAATAATGCCCCTCTTGGTCAAGGAGGAGACTTTGAAGAAAGGTACAATTACAATTAATGTCTAATTTAAATGCTTTTCACCAGTGGGAATTTTATTCTGTGTCATCTTTTTTATAAAACTTTACAATTTTTGTTTCGTTTTAGTTTTACTTTATTTTGATAATTCTAAAATACCTTTAGTGGGTGTTTTCTCTGATATCTTTCATTTTATTCTATAAACTTGCATTGATTAAATATAGTTTCTATTTTTTTAAAAAAAATTGTCCATTAAGATTTAAAATGTGATAATGTTTTCCTACTAAAGGCAACTTTCTAGGATACAGCTTTTGAAACATAAATTAAATTCCTGCTACGAAAAAACACATACCTTGTAAAATGTTCAAATGGTAATGTCATTCCTTCCCTAGTCTGGATAACTGCACTTCAAATTCAGTGAATTTATATCAAGTGCTTGATATAAATTAAGTTTGACCACCAGAGGGCAGTTTATGCTAATTCTTTTTTTCAATATGAGCTCCCAGGAAGCGGTTTTAGGCAGAGGTGGGAAGTGGCCTGGGGTATATATTCACAGAGCCCAGGCTTAGGGGAAGAGCATGCAGGATGGGACAGAGTTTAATTTTCACAGCTGCAGTGCAGAAGTGTATAGCTGTAATTTCAAACCATTAAAGCTCTTCTGGAGCGAATTTTGTGACATGTTGATTTGTTCCTTCTACTTTTTAATAAATGTACTTAAATCGGAAGGGAGTCCTAACTTTGTTTAAATATAAAAATAAAGTTTTCCATCACATTCTTGAATTCATAGATAATTTTCATGACAGTTTTTCCATATAAGTTTCTAGTACCACCATTGGAAAATTGGGGGCTGGGTCATGAGATATTTTCTCATAAAGGATGGGCTGACCTATTTGCATTAGTCTTGGCTGCCCCTGAGCCTGGATACTCCTGCACGGACCCTGTTCTGGAACTACAGGGATGTGTCATAATTGCCGATTAGAAAAATTAATTTCTGTTCAAAACCATAATCTCTTTCAGAAAGTAAGATTACATCGGGGAAAGTTTAGAAAATTCAGGTAACGTCCCCTAATCATGGATGTTTACATGAAGAGACTCAGATTTCAGTCCATTGGAGGTAGACTGTATTTGTTGCTTTTTGGTGCGAGTCCTCCACTCGCTCATCTATTTGCTATGATCCACGGCATGCAGCTCTCAGGTGCCTTATTCCTGCATGCATTTCTTTTCAGTGTCCAAGCAAAACCTATGATCCACTGATTAAATCCACCCGAGACTTCCCTGACGATGTTGTAAGCTTCATAAGGCGTCACCCGGTGATGTATAAGTCGGTGTACCCAGTGGCAGGAGCACCTACCTTCAAGAGAATCAATGTGGACTACAGACTGACCCAGATAGTGGTGGATCACGTTGTTGCTGAAGACGGACAGTATGATGTCATGTTTCTCGGAACAGGTACCCTCAAACCACACTTACAGTCAAAGAAATTGAAGTGATCACTCATGGATGAAGAAAACAAAAACTTCCAAAATATTTGTCAGCCAAAATCAAGTAAAGATCGGTTAATACAATGTTTCCTAAAATTGTTTAGCCTGTGCATTCAAATGATGATCACAAATACATGTATACATTTATATGTATATTTTTATATACATACATTTTCACACAAAGTATTATTGCTTATTTGGTGATTCTCAAAATTAAGAAAAACATTATGTAATAACATCATTTTAGTGGCAGTAAAGACAGCATGTTCCCTCAGAACTTGATATTGTAATATACATGCTACCTAATGAACTGAGCATTTTTGCAATAGGAAATTAGTGAATTTTAAATGCTGGTATTTATTAGAACAAATTCTCAATGATGTGAAACAGAATCATTTAACATCTAAGCACTACACTGGTTTTGCAGAAATTAAGCTTATTTAGAAAGATCATGGCATAGCTAGGGCCTTTGTCACCAGCTGTCAAGCCTGATTATGTTTCAGATGGCAAGTGCAAACCCCAGATAATCTAGGGGATGCTCCATTTCCGAGACTGCCGAGATGACTATTTAAGGGTCAGAACTTTGATTAGTACGTTATTAATTCTCATGAGCTAAATTTAATTTGCACTGGTCATCCAAAGCTCATTCATAGGTTCTTAGCAATTCAGTACCATAAAGAGCACTCAGCCACTAGATGGTACTACCTAACCTTTCCTGAGAAAAATAAGGGGACTTCAAAAGTATATTATGTATTATAAAAATGTATTTAGCAGTTTTGAACATCTTAGAGTCACTTTTTGAAAATTAAATAATCTTGGCACTTTCTACACATTCTGCAATTACTATAGGTCTCTATTTTCAAGCTCCCTGATCAGAATTTTAAAAACATATTTTCAATAGATTAATTGCAAAATGCTAACTCTCTTTTTATGTTTGTAGTGAATGTTACATTATCTTTTTATACTGGCATGCTACAGAGACACATTTCATTCATTATATGATTATTTAAGATACCTTTTCTAAACATCATTTTTATTATATTTCACTAAAGTTATAGCTTCTTTTAAGTTTGAGTCAAAATAACTTGAATCAACTTTAAATTTTAATCTCATTAACAATTATTCTGAAAGCACATTGTATTTGAAATATTAGTAAGCTTCCCCATGAAATGGTCTCCAATGTCTTCTGGTCCATTTTTTAGCATTTTAGAAAATTATATATATCTTTTTCTTAGTGTTTATAATTGAACAGATATAATCACTATGTAAATCTGACTGAAGAGAAAATAAAAAGGTTTATGTAATTTTTCTTTTAGAAGTTTAACATTTAAAAAATAAAATATATTTTACTTGTTATTTCAAATAATAATAAATTAGTCATAAATATGCAGTTACGAAAATACTATGTATTTTACTTTTAATCTATTTATAAGAATCTGCTCTAAAAGGGAAACGACATTCACAGCCGGCTTCATTTCCCACGGCTTTATTTGGGCAAATGAGAAGGAAAATTTTAAGATTTCTAGACATATTCATTCAACTCAATATTGAAAGCTAAACAGTGGTGTTAGGAGTCCGTGTCTTTTTTCAGACATTGGAACAGTCCTCAAAGTTGTCAGCATTTCCAAGGAGAAGTGGAACATGGAAGAGGTAGTCCTGGAGGAGCTTCAGGTGTTCAAGGTGAGAAGGGCTCAGGGCTCAGGACAGAGGCTGAGACTGCGCAGTGACACACACTTTGTCTTTTCTCTCTCTTTTTCCTTGGAGAAGTCACTGAAATGTACTTCCACTGTTTCTCTGGCCAAGCATTCGAACAGGACATAAGCAAGTGTGAAAGGCACTCACTTCTGCTGCTAAATGCCACTGACAGAAAGAAGCTGCTTGGTTGCGTCTTCTTACTGCATTCTCCAAGCATATAGTCAGTCAAGTGGCCACATTGAGTCAAAGCCTGGGATCTCCTATTACCCAGATGCTTTTCTACTGTATGAACTTTGCAACTTTTCCCCAAATGAATTTGAGAGAACTGGAAAGGTTTATGAATCATGTATAAAAGTCCTGATTTGCTGTACTGGAAAAAAAATTCAATGATAGCAAGTTACTCTTGCCACAATCCTCTTGCCTCTTGAAGGGAATTAGGAGGCCTGGAGGAAGAGTTCTTTGTTTTAAATTATTCTTTTAACAATAAATACATTGTAGTGTGACCGGAATTCCTTGTAGCTACTCTGTGGTACTTAGAATTATTTCATGAAAAATAAGGCATTAGAAATAATGTTATATTTCTTAGAAATATGTTCTTTTATGTTTTTGTTTTCTTAAAGAAGTTTATCAAAAACTGTTTCCATGTAAACATCCATTGCCTGGAAAGAGAGAGTCCTCCTCTGTGAAGGGCTAAAGTTAATTATCATGCTGAGGTTTCCAGGATCCTGTTTACATTCTGATGATAATAGTGGTCAAGAAGTTAACAAGAACAAGACCTGCTATCTGGCCTCTTCCAAAACAAAATCCTGGGTGGCTCCTAAGGGAAAAGTGGATGTCAAACATAAGGGTGAATGAACAGAGGTTCAGGGAATTTCTATCATGAACAGACACATAATTGTAAGATAATAAATCTTCCCCAATGGATCTTAAAGGCAAGAATTGACTGTTAGCTTCGTGATCAAAGTTGTTCTTCTCCTCCTCTTCCTCTTATCCTCCCATCCATCTATGTTTTTGTCTGTCTGTCTGTCTGTCTATATTTTTTAATTTATCATGAAGCCGCAAATAATGTCGCCTGAGAAGTCACATAAGAACTGTTTTCAGCAGCAGCAGAACTTTAGCTTTGCAAACTCTGCTACCTAAACAAGTTTTGAATCTTTGATACAAGTAACATCAAAATGGAGCAATAAATAATCATGGAGATCTTCTTATCAACACTCATGTGAATTATATGCCAACCTGAAGATACGCAGGTTTAGAACACAGTGAAAACTTGTTAATAACTAGGAGGCATTTCAACCCAGCATTTCCTCATACAGTTGGCTAGGTTCTCTCTGATAAGATACTTCAAGCATTTTCCTCGTGTCTAGTAAGGTAGAATGAATACATACTGCAAGAAACCGGCAAGTAGTAAGGTCATGTTCTCCTCTCATTGAGAGTCTGGACAGCCAAGTTTGACATAAAGCAGCCTACTGACTAATATAAAGCTCTAAATGTATTTACTGACATTTTGCTTCTGTTTGCAGTACCCAACAGCCATCTTGAACATGGAGTTGTCTCTGAAGCAGGTACTTTGTAATTTCTGTTTATCAATTAACTTCAAATGTCAAAAGTTCCCTGAATCAAAGTTCATTTGCTGAGTCTATTGAAATTGGAGACTGGAAGTTAAGTTATTAATAATGCAGAAAGTTAAAGCTTGTCTGTTTCTCCTCTGATTGATCAGAAGTCACTATTTCAGCCTTGCCTTGAAAGAATGGAGAGAAAAATATTAATGGAATAGTAAATATTGTTGCTCTCTTTGCCTCTGAAAAAAATGAGTGTGTGTCTGTTCTCCTGAAATTGTATTTCTGCTCACATCATAAGACACATATTTAAGATTCCAATCACAAGGCTTGAAAGGGGTTTTTTAATTAGGGAACCTAGAATTTCAAATATGAACCAAGGTACACATCACAGAAGAATCAACCTTCAACACTTTACTCAATAGCAAACTCTCAGAACCAATTTTCTCAACTAGAAAACTCTCTTGCTTGTTATGAGTTTAATGTTTATTTAATTCTACTTGCTTAGTAATACTTGGAATCAAACCTAGGGCTTTACACTTATTAAGAAAGTTAATTTGTACTTTGTGCAGGGGGCAACAGGATCTTATAATCTAATTCAGACACTACCTCCTAAGTACTGTGTTTATTGACAGGCATGAGAAAAAGCTGGATTCCTTTTTTTCAGTGCTAAGTATTGACACTAGGTCATTGTAAATACTAGACAAGCACTTTCCCTCTTCTACCATGGTCGGATATCCCCTTCCTGCTGTAAGTTTAAACAGAATGCAATATGCCAACATTTTAAGCAAAGTGATGTAAGTGTTAATGGTCAATTTTAGTAATCATAAATATATATAATATGATTTTCAGTTATAGTATAATCTACATTGACTAGATTTAGTCTTACCATTCTATTCCTACACTACAAAAACCCTCAGGATTTAAGACACTCATTTATTAATATAGGTTCCACAGTAGGGCATTGCTACATTTAAGCTTAGTAGTTCCATTAGAGGAAAGTCTAAATGGGTTTGCTTCTGAGTTCTTTTCATTGAATTACACATTCAATAACTTTTAGTACTTGAATCTCTGCTATTGTGCATTGAAGACACAGAAAAGAATGAGGGCTGTAGCGCTAAACAGGAGATTAGCTGGACAGAGCTGACATGGGGATGCACACCGACAACAAAGAATAATAACTGAAGCATATACCACAAAGACAAAGGACAGAAAGTAACTTGAAAGTGAGCCAGGAAGACCAGGGGTTGGGAGGAGAAGAAAGAGACAGACTGAGAAATGAATGATACAGTTCACTAGATATAATGAGCAAATAAGAATGTGAAAATGAAGGTCTACACCTGTTTCTATTAAGCGTGTATAAAAGTTGATCCAAAACATACGTACTTAAGGTGAAAGGAAATTAGAGATGACTCTGGAGAAGGAAGCGTGAGCTGTCAGGCTCTACCTGTCCCCCATGATGTTTAACAGCTTAAGAACAAAAGCTCTTATGGTTTTTAAGCGAGAGAATGTCAGAAGAAGACCATCTTTTTAGAAAGATCTGTCTGTGGAAAAGGAAGTGGGTCCTCTGCAGAGGTGGGGGTTATGAGGAAAGCTGGCATTAGAAAACTAGTTGGAACCTTGCAAACAATTTATGCAAATGATGATTCAGAGCAAAACAAAGGCCACAGCAGAGGTAAGAGGCTGAAAAAGGTTCGAGCTTCATGGATGGAAAAGAAGTTAGTAAAGATGATGAGAGTGCTGAGGAAAGTGTAGCCATTTGCCATAAGCATTTCAGAGAATTGTGGAAAAAAAGATAACAGAATGCTTTGTGTTTAATGACAAGGAGGTCTTAACAGAATTTAACAGGCAATAGATTCCCATAAGTTGGTAACCTCTATGCCTTTTATGCTATAGTCTTTTCTGTGAGGTTTCTCCTTATTTCAAAGCTGAGAATGGTCCACTAGAGTTTTAAGTTCTTGAGAATCATAGGCTGAGACTTATCACTGACACTATGCCTCTGTCTTCATCTCCTCTGCTGCAGACGCTCAGATGGATGTATATGGGGAGTACTGCATGAATCTCAGAACTAACTTTCCAAGTGTAATTTATTTGCTGTTTCCAGTATCCTGCTGCCTTTGCTTTATGATATAGCATTGTTTAAGTATACCTTATGATGTAGACACCAAACATTTAATCACCAATTGTAACCTGTATTTTATCAGGGATCAGTTCATCTTAAAGAAACTAGTGTCAGGGGTCTCCTTTAGACAATTCTCCTGTTGAGAGCCATGGCAGAGGCATGCCATCAATTTTGCTTGTAATATCTATGCCTATTTGCATCTACCAAAGTACAACTTCTACTACTGAGAAAGAAATGATGTCTTAATTCCATAGTCTAGCAGCTTATTAGCTTAAATTATTGCCTAGCCTGTGTCAGCCTTCTAAAATATTGTCTGTAGTTGTTGGTAGCTTTTTAGTAGTTGGAGCTTTTTTGTTGTTGTTGTTGTTGTTGTTATTTTGTTTGTTTGATCTTAGGGGCCCAACACCCACCTCCCAAATAAATGCCCCAAGAATTATTCTTTTTATGAATGCCCAGCCTTAGCTTGCCTTGTTTCTAGTCAGCTTTCCTAAATTAAATTATCTCTTTTCTCTTTAGCTACATTTTGCCTCTGAGATTTTTACCTTTCTTTATCCTATCTATATATGTTTCTTTACTTCTTACTCCATGGCTGGCTGTGCTGCTCTGTGGCTGGGTGGCTAGCCCTGGCATCATCCTCTTCTCCTTTTCTCACTCCTCCTCCTCTCTCTTTCCCATTTTATCTCCTTATTTATTCTCCCTGCACGCCAGCCCTGCCCATCCTTTCTCTATCCTGCGTAGCTATAGGCCATTCAACTCTTTATTAGACCAATCAGGTATTTTCGGAAGCCAAAGCAGGACAACTTCACAGTTAAACAAATGTAACATAAAAGAATGCAGCACATCTTTGCATCATTAAACAAATATTCCACAGCATAAACGAATGTAACACATCTTAAACTAATATTCCACAATAGTTATTGATTTCATATTGAAATCTTCAAATCACAGTCTGGCTAGGGGTAGGCAAAGTTTGCTTGCTTTATCCTTCCTCACAATTGTGCATCAGCGTTTACAGATAACAGGACACTTACAAATGGGTTTAGAGCTATTGTATGCTACTTAGAAAAGGGAGATTCTCAAGACTAATGTGAGCAATGGCGCTGATTCACTTCTGCTTGGTTTGCAGCAACAGTTGTACGTTGGTTCCTGGGATGGATTGGTTCAGCTCTCCTTGCACAGATGCGACACTTATGGGAAAGCCTGCGCAGACTGCTGTCTTGCCAGAGACCCCTACTGTGCTTGGGATGGAAATGCTTGCTCAAGATACGCACCCACTTCCAAAAGGTCAGGATGCTCCTCCCTCCCACATGATTTCTCTCATAGTTTCAGTTAAAGGCAAATAGTAAACTTGGCCTGTGGAAGAATTATTACAATTAAAATATTCAGTCACTTTATATTAAAGTTGGAAGACTGAACAGATGTTCTGAAATTGTGAAATATGGAATTTAAAAAAAATCTGATAAATTATATATAGCATTTTTAACAACCAACCATAGTGGTTCATGCCTGCATTTGCACAACACAGGAGACTGAGGCAGGAGAATTACTGTGAGTTCCAGAATAGCCTGAGCTATATAGTGATATCCTGTTTACTTCTCAGAATTGTTCTTGTTAACTAGTTTTATTACATTCCTTCTCTCGGACTTCTAAAGATGCACATATTCACATCCATTATTTTGCAAGTTGTTCTAAGTACTCATGTTTGCAGAAGTGCGGACAAAGACCACAGTACATCTAGTGATTTGATGCAATTTTATTTTTACTCTAATAGCTATAATTTGTCAATTTCTGTCACTCAGATCAGCTTCAGCAATAAACTCTTGCCTTGACATTGGTAGCTTTTTATTTTATGAATACTCGACTATATCCAGGAAAGCCCAACCATTGCATTATTCTACACACACAAGTACAAGTTATCCAGAGTTATGAGATACACGTTTTGACACTATTTTTAAGAGAAAAACATTAGAAAAAAATATGAATGCCGGCCTATCATACTCATGTTAGATGGATATTTTACCATCATATGTCATATTTTTGTATGTACATGGTAGTAATATTATTTGCTAAGGTGTTATTCAAAGTATATGTCCTAGATAAAACTGTTATGAAATTATAACATGCTTTCGGTTCCATTCATTTTTAAGCTATCTTGGCACTTTGGGCGTCTTTAGTGCTCTAAGTGAAGAACATGTATTAGTTTCACTATCACGTATTACATTTATTTTAGGTTAAATATTTCACTAATCTGTCCGATTCTAAACATTAGGACTCCACAATTGTAGGTCTTTTGTACATCAGCACATATTCGTTAAAGCCGGGACACAGTTTATATTCTTTTAAGTCCACACATTGAGCATAAGTGGGTAAATATGATTATTCGGAGTTAAGAGTTGCCAACAGTTTGTTAAAACTTGTCTGCCCAGAATAGAGTCATCTTAATGAGTGTTTGGGGATTTCTTTTCTAGAAGCTGAAAAGTAGAGTGTTCATTACTTGGCAATAAATGTTCTCTTTGATTAATTGATCCTGTTCCTGAAGAAGCCAAGATTTAAAAACATTCATGACCTTATGTTCCTTACAGCATCATAATTTTTTTCTTCCTGTGTTTCCCAAGACTGCATCTCTGATCTCACAGACATGCCACTGTGATGTGCTCCCTCACCTAACATAATGTCCATCAGAGGCTACAGATGTGTACAATGGATGACTCTTTTCCAAGGTTGTCATCTGGTCAGCTGTGCCCCTGGGGAGCACTCCAAGCATCTGAGAAAGTTTACTGCTGTGTCTCTGATCTCTGAAGTGACAACATGGACCCCAGAGCGTAGCAGGGAAGAAGGGATCTAGAGGATTTAGCAATAATGTTAGATAGGAGTAAGAAATCCTGGTGTGTTGTGTCATAATGCGGAGTATAGATAATAACACTGGACTGCAAAGTTCAAAGAAACCAGAAGGAATTTTGAAGATTTTTATTTCAAAGCAGTATCCAAAGAGATAAATACATTTAACCCAATTGTAACATCTCACAGTTATATCTATGTATAAAAATATTATCTAGTAGAATGTTAATATGTATAACTTTAATGTTTTTATGTGCATATTGAAATACTTTCTGTTTAGAAATTTAAAAATAGACAAAGACAGTGAAACTATATTAAGGAGTAAGATATACTTAGATTAAGTAGACATGTGTCATTTCCTCTTAAATAGGTATTAATTTAAGGGAAACATATAATATGATGCAAAATTTCTTGTATTATTTTCATAATTACCAGGATAGCTACTTATTTATTGACAATAATAACAAATATGCATGCATGCCATACTGAACTTGTAGTTCTGTTTCTGGCTGACCCTAATTTATTGAATAAAGTGTGTAATGAACGACACAATTAAATTTTTTGTTTATATGCATTTTCCTACTCACTGGAAGACTTTTGTATATTATGATTTTGGCAGGCAGGAGGGGAAGAAGAGTTTTTTCTGTGTCTTGTGCATAAACCTGGATCTTAGTCATGTTCAGCCTGTTCTATTGAGTAACTTGTGAAGCTAGGGAAAAAGAGCAGTAGTTAAATGAAATTCTGATCATCTTAATGCACAACAGGATTTGTTGTGTTGGGACTTTTCTACCACAAGAATTTAAATTAATGTTTGATTGATGGGAACCCTGACCTGTATTTAGGTTGCACAGTAAGTCAAGTACAGTTCGTCTCAGTTAGTGTTAGCATGAGACACAGCCTTTCTATATTCCAATTATACTTGAAGATTTAATTAGCTTAATTTTCTTTCCATAGGCGAGCTAGACGCCAGGATGTAAAATATGGGGACCCAATCACTCAGTGCTGGGACATAGAAGACAGTAAGTATGGGCTTGATGCACATTTCTTACCACTTAAAATGATAATCCTTCTCTTCCTGAGCCTTTTAAAAAATTCTATATGAATCTAAACAACCATACATATGACTATCTTATTTTGTATAATGCTTATGTTCTAGAAAAGCAACAGGAGTTTTATAAACGAGTTCCCTGTCTAGTTGCCTAAGTGAATAACCCTTTGTTAAATCATGATTTGTTTCATATGTCTTTTAAATTCCTGAGCCACAACGTGTTTCTTCTTTAGTGCCTTATCCATCCTTTTAAAGTTGGAGGATTCTGTTAGAGGCAAAACAGGGTTTAGCCCCAAACATTTGAGAATCCTGAGGAAACATGAAGACCTCCCAGGAAGGTCTGATAAAAAAAAGAACTTAGTGCTTATTAGAACTAAGTTTTAGGTGGTCTGAACTTTATTTTCATTCACTTACTCTTGCATACCTTCAAGCAGTAAATGCTCATTGAGTAAGTTGCACATGTCCTTAATTGATCTGTGTGTACTGCGAGACAAAGGAATTCCTTAGAGTGCTTATGCCCTTTGGAGGAGATGTCATAGGGTACAATTAGTAATACAGAAATATAGTAAATGGAGAGTTCGCTAAAGGCTATGTTGTTCAGAAGAAACAATCCTCAGAATAGATGATCTTAAAAATCTGAGTAGGGAAGAGGTAGGATGCTGGAAAGGAGGTTTGGTGATTGTGTTTGAATATGGAAAAAATTAACTCTAAAAACTATAGCTGTGAGGTTTTATTTATTGTCTTCTGATTTTCCCATCCCCAAACATATACATGCATATTTTTTTGTTTTGTTTTGTTCTTTGGAGACAGGGTCTCTATGTATTTTGGCATACTGCCCTGAAGCTTGATTTCTTCTGTAAACCAGGCTGAACTTTAACTCACAGAGACCCTCCTATCTGCCTCCTGAGTGTTGAGATCTTTCTCTCTCTCTCTCTCTCTCTCTCTCTCTCTCTCTCTCTCTCACACACACACACACACACACACACACACACACACACACCACTACTTGGATAGGGAAAGGAAGACACACTCTTTCTTCATATTTTTTGTAACTGACCAAAAATGACCTAACTCTTCATAGTTTGTAACTGGTGGGCCAGAAATCATTTCTTGATTGTGAAACACAGTAGTGTTTTTTTTTTCACAGTAGTGTTTTTAACTTATAAGTTCATCCTTCTGCGTAGAAAGTTGTGGTATAGAATAGGGTGGGGAAACCTTTTTATTCTAATGTGAAAGTGACTCACTGTTATGTTCATTGTTCACTTTAGTGAACTTCATTGCATGCTATGAATTCAGTCCTTGACACAACAAATGAAAAGATACACCAGGGGCAGTTTTGAGAACTGAGGATGTGTGAATGACCAGAACACTATCCATGTATTCCTAGACTTTATATTCACCTGTTTGTTAAGGAAAGGACAAATGGAAAACAGGAAAAATAAGTTCTATGTCAAATGATGACAGGTGGCATAAAGGAAATGAACAAAATACATTGTTCCCTGAGTCACTCACAGTAATCTCCTTCCCTTCCCCACACCCCTTTCCTTCTATAAACCATTGCACAAGATCTCTTTAAATCACCATCTTGCCCATCCCCTTCTTGTTGAGGTCCCCTGCAAGTTCTTCCATTTCAAATCCAATAGACAATTTTCATTTTTGATTTTTATATATAATCTACAATTCTTTTTTCTTTGAGTCACTTCATTCTCTAAAGGGATTCTTACCAGTTAGGAAGTTTTGTGAGCTTACTCCTCATCCTTGTTAAGTGAAGTCAATAATGGTAGCTGATTTATATCAGAAAATCATCAGAAACAACAAATCAAGCCTCAGATAGTATTCTGCACACTTGCACTGCTGTGACATTGTATCTTTCGGGTCAACCACTTACCTTGTAGAACCTCCTGCATTTTCTCACACACTTAGAATTTAGTAGCATCCCAACTCATTTTTTTCATCACACATTTGTTTGTCTTTTCCCGTACTGTAGCAATAGTCTTCTCAACTCTCAAATTCATAGTTAACTTTCTTGTCCTGTATGTTAGACATGAGTGCCTACAGTCCTACTCAAAAACTACACTTGAATGCCCATTTAGTGTCTACAATGAGTGACTGAGAAAGACTTCTTGTTTCCATGGTTTTTTGACCACTTCATCATACTAAATAATGACGGCATTCACTGAACTGAGGTGAAAAGCTCCTAGGCATCTTCCTGGTGCCTCTCTTTCTTTCATGGTCTGTCACCGACCTCTTGATAATCTTTCTGTCTCTGTGGCCAAACTCCACTTCTTATTGCCACCAGTGACAACGAAGCTGTGGTTCTTCACCAGTAGACTCTTTACAAGTCTCCCTGCTGCCGTAGTTCCCCTTGTGAGTCTATTACCAACCGATATCCTGAATAATTTCTTTGAAAAAACTCCAGTCAGATATGGTGCTGCCATCCTAGAAACATCTTCCCATCTTCTTATATAATTAGTGGGAATTACAGCTTCCAGCCTGACCTATCGGATCCTGTTTGGCTGTCTCTTCCCAGTCGACTTGTAAACTTTCCTCATCTATGGCTTCACTGTTCATCCACCGGTAGACTTTCACATGCTGAAAGGGATCAATCATGTCCTTCCTTGGGTCTACTTGTCTTGTTGCAACTTGCAGTGAATAGTTGCTTCAGGAGCTCACACAGCTGCATTTTCACACTGTGGGATTTTATTCTGATACAGAGATTCCTCAGAGACACCTTCTCAGCCATCCTAGCTGAAGACTTTCCTGCTTTCTCTCTAGTATTTATGTTACTTGTTTTGTATGTTCTGCCTTAGGTCCTCCTGGTTCCATAACTTTAGTCATGTGCTGATACCTAAAACACTAAATTGTTCATCTGTAGAATGGAATATTTTACGGAAAGTGATTATTTGAGTCAATCTGTGCAGATATCATTTTTACTGATTAATTTGAGCACAAATTTTATATCCAAAAGGGGCATAGCCTTTTAATACTCTGGATATAATGTATTTTAGATAGTGCAGCTGAATTAGTAAAATATCTGAGAAACTACTTCTTAGCATCTCATTAAATGACTTGTACTAAGTACCTAATAGAGTGTCTACAAAACCAAAATGGCAGGCAATATAGACAAGGTCTCCATTCTAGAGCAGACCACTGACCTTGCTCTTGTCACACAATTTCATCAAGCCTAGACGATTCTACTTACTTTCCTGATCGCAGATATCAAATTTTAAAAATATTACCTGGTCAACTCTGTGTACCAATTTAAGTAGAATCTCTCTCTCTCTCTCTCTCTCTCTCTCTCTCTCTCTCTCTCTCTCTCTCCCTCTGTGTGTCTGTGCGTGTGTGTGTGTGTGTGTATGTGTGTGTGTGTCTATCTGTCTGTCTGTGTTTTCTCAAACTAAATTGCTGGAGTTGAAGGGATGGCTTAATAGTACAAAGCACTGGTTTCTCTTCTAGATAAATTCTGAGACAATTTCCCAGCACTCACTTAGCAGCTAACAACCACCTGTAATTCCAGCCCTGGGCTATCTGCCACCTTCTTTGGTCTCTGTGGGGATTGTATGCATGCATGCATATAGGCAAGCAAAATACCTATACAGAAAAATAAAAATGAAAAAAAAATTAAATTATTTAAATGAATAAAAACTAAATTGTTCTTCCAGAATGAACAACATTGAAAGACATAAAAAGATTTTAATGAAGAGATATAATATCAGTTGTTACATATTTCAAATTTTTACATCTTTAAAATAATTGTAATTTGGCAATTAAAGACTAAAATTATGATAGAGGTGTAGTTTAAACATCCCTTTGTTGGATAGTATCTGATTCTCGATAACAGTATTATAGTATGAATTTCCATTCTCTTTAATAATGTGTATGGTTCTTCCGTGGTGACATCTGTTCTGAATCAGTCTATTTTCCCATTGCTTTTAAAATCAGGTCAAGGTTAATCTCCAATGCTATGTTTGCTTTCTAGGCATTAGTCATGAAACAGCTGATGAAAAGGTGATTTTTGGAATTGAATTTAATTCAACCTTTCTGGAATGTATACCAAAATCTCAGCAAGCCTCTGTTAAGTGGTACATCCAGCGGTCAGGAGAGGAGCATCGTGAGGAGGTAAGCCCGTCAGCAGCAAGGATTCTGCTTTCAAACTGAAGTCAGCTATTCCTTATGAAAGTTGCACAACACTGAGTGTCACAGAGCACTCTCCCCGCTGTTTGATGAAAGGACAGGTCAGAGTTTAGACTCACCAACAACAGTGGTTGCAATTGTTTGGGAATATGAACAAGCCAATTCAGTGCCCATGTAGCACGGATACATATTTTAAAAATATTCACCTGATTTTTTTCATATTTTTATTTTTTAAGGAATTTCAAGACAATTTCTGATTAAGATGAGAACACAATCTTTTCATAACCATTGTAACGTCACTAAATTTCAGCTACTATTGAGTTTAGTCTAGGTCACAAAATGAAATATTTCCAGAAATACCAATTTCTATTAAATCATATCATAAGATGAAAGTGGATAAAAATTACATAATTTGGAAATGTATAGATTTTCAGTTTTATTTATTTACATAATAAATCTTAAGTCAAGGAGAAAAAATTAATTGTTTTATTTTATTTATTTTATTTTGTTAATTTTCTTAACACTTGACTTGAGACTGAGATATGTTATGAACATTTTACGACATAGATAAGTCATATATGTTACAGAATTGAATGAGGTTATTTTAGGCAGTCTTAGAAATCTTAGATTAATATTGGAAGCATTGTGAAATAAAAGCTATATTGTAGAATTGATTGTTGTTATATTTATTAATAAGAACAAAAAGAACCCAGTAACAGGGCTTAAGAGATGATTCAATGGTTAAAAAAATTGGCAGCTCTTCCGAAGGGCCCAGATTACTGAATCTGTACCCACATTGGGTGGTTAATAATTACCTGTAACTACAATTCCAGGGGATTTAATGCCTACTCTGACCTCTGTGCCCTAGCGTACACTCAGACCCATACATATATGAATAAATAATATTATTAAAGAATCTAATAATATTTTATTAGGATTTACAATTCTTATATTACACAAAAGACACTGTGATGAGTGGAAGATTGAATGCAGAATTCAGAATAGATGTTTTTAGAGTTCAAAGATGCTCCTGAGGTCCCAGTGGATAAGATTATTCTGTGACATAAAATATTCATAACATATCGCAATCACAAGTCAGTGTTAAGAAAATTAACAGAAAAAATAAAAGAATAAAGACCATTTTTCTCTGTGTTGACTTAAGTTTAATGTGTAAATATATGAAACTCAAAATTTGAGGATATCTGTTGACTCTATTCTCTACAATATCACATATCAACAAAACTTGATATCATTAGACATAAATTCTAACATAGGCAGGGAATATACACACTCAATATTTATTTAAGTCCATCCTGTAGGCAAAGGCTGCTCATTTGTTCCCAGCTGCCCAAGACCCAAATAATTACACAGAAACTATATTAATTACAACAATGCTTGACATATTAGCTCAGGCTTTTTATGAACTAACTCTTACATCTTAAATTAACCCATTTATATTAATCTGTTTATCACCACAAGACTGTGGCCTACTACTAAAGGTTCCGGGGCATCTATCACCTTTGGCAGCTACATGGCATATCCTTATCTCTTTCTACTCTCTGTTCAGACTTTCTGCTTGGCTTTACCATTGGCCAAAAGCAGCTTTATTAATCAATGGCAATAAAACGTATTCACAGCATACAGAGGGAATCATACATTACCTCCCCTTTTGTCTAATTTAAAAAGGAAGGTTTTAACTATAATATAGCAAGATTACATACAACAAAAGTTATTAACAAGAATTATAGTTACAATATTTAGTATATTTACATCTGGCAAATTAAGGAAAATACTCTATCATCTCTCCTATCTTTGTGAGTCAAATGTTTTATATCTAATATATCTTTTATATTTGTAACTATCTTTCTTCAATTTCATCAAAGACTCCAAATGGACACAATATTACCTAAGTAAACAGGAAGTACTTGTGAGCACCTTCTAAAACTCTAAAATTAAAAGAGACATCTTGCTGTCTGGACAGTAACCCAAAGTTCTTCTGTAACCTTGGGGTATCCATCTTCAGCCTACAGGCCCATGGTATCTAGCAGACTTTTCCATGAATCAGAAAATTTCAAAGACAGTTTCACCTATATTGGGTGTTCATCAGTCACTTTCATCTGTATCTTACAATATGTCTAGCAGACTCTTTCATGAAGCAGGAACCATGTTCCTCTTTTTGGGTCTGGCTTACCTCACTCAGGATAGTGTTTTCTATTTCCATCCATTTGTATGCAAAATTCAAGAAGTCCTTGTTTTTTACTGCTGAGTAGTACTCTAATATGTATATATTCCATACTTTCTTCATCCATTCTTCCATTGAAGGGCATCTAGGTTGTTTCCAGGTTCTGGCTATTACAAACAATGCTGCTATGAACATAGTGGAGCATATACTTTTGTTGTATGATAAGGCCACTCTTGGGTATATTCCCAAGAGTGGTACTGCTGGGTCCAGGGGTAAGTTGATCCCGAATTTCCTGAGAAACCGAAACACTGATTTCCAAAGTGGTTGCACAAGATTGCATTCCCACCAGCAATGGATGAGTGTACCCCTTTCTCCACAGCCTCTCCATCAAAGGCTATCATTGGTGTTTTTGATTTTAGCTATTCTGACAGCTGTAAGATGGTATCTTAAAGTTGTCTTGATTTGCATTTCCCTGATCGCTAAGGAAGTTGAGCATGACCTTAAGTGTCTTTTGGCCATTTGAACTTCTTCTGTTGAGAATTCTCTGTTCAGCTCAATGCCCCATTTTATAATTGGGTTGATTAGATTTGTACGGTCTAGTTTCTTGAGTTCTTTATATATTTTGGAGATCAGACCTTTGTCAGTTGCGGGGTTGGTGAAGATCTTCTCCCAGTCAGTGGGTTGCCTTTTTGTCTTAGTGACAGTGTCCTTTGCTTTACAGAAGCTTCTCAGTCTCAGGAGGTCCCATTTATTCAATGAGGCCCTTAATGTCTGTGCTGCTGGGGTTATACGTAAGAAGTGGTCTCCTGTGCCCATGTGTTGTAGAGTACTTCCCACTTTCTCTTCTATCAGGTTCAGTGTGTTCAGACTGATATTGAGGTCTTTAATCCATTTGGACTTGAGTTTTGTGCATGGCGATAGATATGGATCTATTTTCATTCTTCTACAGGTTGCCATCCTGTTTTGCCAGCACAATTTGTTGAAGATGCTCTCTTTATTCCATTGTATACTTTTAGCTCCTTTATCGAAAATCAGGTGTTCATATGTTTGTGGGTTAATGTCAGCTTCTTCTATTCGATTCCATTGGTCGACTTCTCTGTTTTTATGCCAATACCAAGCTGTTTTCATTACTGTAGCTCTGTAATAGAGTTTGAAGTCAGGGATGGTAACGCCTCCAGATGATCCTTTATTGTATAAGATTGTTTTGGCTCTCCTGGGTTTTTTTGTTTTTCCATATAAAGTTGATTATTGTCCTCTCCAGATCTGGGAAGGGCGTCTGTCTTCTTTGACAGCTACATGTGTCTCCTCAACTCCACCTACTCCCTTTCTACATCTCTGTTCATATTTTCTGCCTGGCTTTGTTCTGTTAAGCCATTGGCCAAACTCATTTTCTTTATTAACCAATGGTGATAAAACATATTCAAAGCATACAGAGAGGAATCCCACATTATTATCATATCTGTTTTTGTAATCTATATTGAACTATTATCTGATATCATAATAATTATTCTACTTCAAAGTAAAGTCCTCTTTCTTTATTAAAGAAATATTGAATACTGTTGGCATTTTAAGGTGCAGATTTAATTTAGTTACATTTACATATTTTAATTATGAATGAATTGAAGCTACTTTTAGATTTTATAGCTACTGGGGTTTGATTTTTCTTTCTATTAGCTCTAATTAGAGAGGTATTTGTCCTGCATAGCAAATCCATCTGACCTTTAGCTTGAAAGTGTGGTACTGCTGGAGGTATTCCTGCAGCTGTAGATAGCCGCATTTGCCTATGGTGTACTTATGTTCTTCATTTTTCTGAGATTCCTATGCGTTGTTTTAATGTACCTAACAGCACTATATCACATATCACGATGGTACCATGCTCCATGAATTTCAATGGAGCAGAAATAATGTATTTATTGCATTCTGTTGGAAAGTATGTTCCCTGCAATGTTTCAACTGGTATTTTCATCTGTCTTCACAAATGGGTGGTTTCCCATTGTCCAGGACCCGCAGTGCTGCTTCCTGAGTTGAGGAACAGGGCAATATCCTGGCTGCACTTGAAGCATGTTGCCCTGCAGGATGTCTTCTGGTCCTCGCTCATAAGGTCGCCACTTGCAATCCTTCCTCTGCTCATAAAAAGCCCAGGGGATGGATCATGGCCTCCTGGGCTACAGATGCTGTCACCAGGTTATTCGGTGCCAGGAGGAGCCCATTTCCTCACCAAGCCACTTAGCAGCTGGGTGCTTTGGGGGAGGTTGCCTGCTGACTCTCTTATAAGGCTGGTTGAAACTGATGGTGTTTATGCTGCAGCTAGCACGGTAATTGGCAGTCCCGAGCTTCTGTTGAACTTTGGGGATAACTTTAATGAAGAAAAAAAGTGATCCTTCATGCCATTTGCCATACTGTTTTTTCTTGATGGAGCTGAACGTTTCTAAAGCATCTTCCAGCGTCTGCCTTTTCCATCTGTAGCGCTCTGTTTCCCTTTCATTTTGTTTTTGTTATGAAAGCAAATAAATGCTTTTAAACTTGTAACAACACAGAGAGAATCATGATACCACTTAGTGCAGATAAGCATGAGTGATATTTTGGGTTTATTCAGTTTCGGTACTCATCACCACCCTGGGAGTACTTTCCCTGCTTCCTCCTGTAAATAAACATCAGACCATTGTCTCTCTTTCATCCACACAGAATCCACAGGAATAAATAGACGCTCTTTAAATCATGTTTTCTAGTAATAAAAAAAGGTTGCCTTTATATCTAGATATTTATTTTTCTATTTAGCTCGGACAAATTACTGAAAAGTAAAATAAAACTTGGAGACATTGGCCATTATACTGTTTGATTATCCATCAGTGCCACCATTTTGAGGTATGTGCACCTCACAGAAAAAAGCTACTATACATAAGATCTAAGAAGCTTTCAGCAATCTGGAAAACACACACACACGTGTTAACATTTACATCCTTCAATAATAAGAGGTGTGAGCAAATGTTCTCAAGTTTCTTAGCTCTGTGCCTCCATTAATTATCTCAGTAACATATCTTAGGGGGTCCATCATTTGGGAAGTTGTTAGCAGATTCACTTAAAAATACTTTCCTCGCCAGGTGGTGGTGTACACCTTTAATCCCAGCACTTGGGAGGCAGAGGCAGGCAGATCTTTGTGAGTTCGAGGCCAACCTCGTCTACAACAGCTAATTCCAGGAAAGGCTCCAAAGCTACAGAGAAACCCTGTCTCAAAAAAACCAAAAGGAAAAAAAAAGCTTTTCTCAAGTCATCTCTACATTACAGAAATCAATAATTTAACAGTAACACATTCTAATTAACTTAATTATATATCTTTTGTTTCTAATAGTTCTAACTTTTCTACGAAAGTGTTATATTTGAATAAGGTAAATCTACTTATTTCTAAGTACACAATTTCCTAACTCTTCTGCTTAGGAACTTCTTCTATAATAAGGCACCAATGATTTCCCACATTAATTTATACCTATACCTTATATTTTTATGTTTATATTTTTTAAAGATAAAAAGTTATTCTAACAGTTAGGTATAAATTTCATTTCTTTAACGAAAAAAACAGTTATTTTAGTAATATTTTTCTTTTGCTTTTTGCCTAAGATGATTATTGGTTTTCTGTTATTTTAATAAATGTTTTACTATGTAGCATTTAGAAGCATAATTGGAAAAACCTAAAAATATGCATATATTTTTTCTTACAGTATTTTTTGCTTTCTACAATATTAAATTAGAAAAGTATTTAGTGTTTTTTTTCTTAAATACAAACACATTTTTTTTTTAAAACAGGCTTATAGGTTTTCATACTTTTAATGATGAGGGTTTTCTTCCTTATTTGATACCAGTTCCCCTCTGGCAATGTTTTCTGGAGAAAAGAATATTCCTGAAGTTGTAATTTCTTCCAAGACACCAGGAATGCATTAGACCTTCCAGCTGCTCTTAATAAAGAATGGAGCACCTCTCATCTTCACCTGCTATTTAGTATCTAAATGACCTTCACTGTGTCTTTGTTCTTCTCATTTGAAATGAATTGTCTTTCACTAAGAAGCTTTAGGTAACAACAGCAAGCATATAATCCTTGCTCACATTAGGCAAATGGATAGCTGTCTCCAATAGAAGAATGGTTTGGGTTCTTCGCATTAGGGTCACTTGTGCTTAGCACTTCTAGACTGGAGAAAATTCCATGAATTTGTGCATCAGTGGCCAGAAATGATCTCTTTAAGAGAGGCTCAATTTTCTCAGCTGTTTGTGATGCCTTTTCTCTCCGGGTCACAGGCTGAGTATGTGTCCTGTCCCAGCAGAGAAAGAAAGCATTATAGAGAAATAATGGAAAGCAGTGAAAGCCAATCTACTACTTAACTTCTGCATCACAGATTTTTATCCATAAATTGTAAGAATTTTCTCAAATGTATGAAATAGAAATCTCTTCTACTAATGATTCCACTGCAGTAAGCTTTATTTGGAAATTTTGGAAAAGAAACAAAAATTCATTAAGCAACCTGATAGACTTTGGATAAATCCATCTAGCTCAAAAACAAAAACAAAAACATAAAATAAAGCACATTTTATAACAATTGGTAAAAAATCGAAAGAACATTTAGTATTCCATAGATGGTAAGAAAGGTGAAGGATCTTCCCCTAGTAATGGAATCCCAGGTGTCTATGAAGTGAAAAGTCCTATAGGATTGAGCTAACATGAAAAGGGGGCAGGGATCTCAGTCAGTCTCAGGAAAAAGCTTCCTAAATAGCATACAGAAAGAGAAGGACGCAGCAGCACTGGGGTGTTATCCAGTGCTCTTGAAGCTACAGTCATAATTTCCTCCTTCTGGAAGATTAAAGAAAACAAGAGACAGCACCCAGCAAAACTGTGATGGTGTCTAATGGTCACATTGAGTGTAGCCTAAGCGACATCAGACACAGACTGAAGAGAGGTCTGTGATGTGGAGAGATGAACGACAATTGCAGTTTCATGCTGATGGCCTCAGGGCACTTTCAGTGATGAGAACTACAGAAACTGCAGAAATTAAACTTTTCCTCCATCATGGCAGCTATAACGCTTTTTACTTCCAAACTCACCATGTGCTGTCCAGGAACTGACTGGCGGGAGAACACTGGGGAAGATAAGTTAATCGAAGTAGGAACGATCAGATGAGAAACCAGCATTCAAATATACTGAGCCAGCCTTTTGAGATCTAAGCTGTATTTTTATTTTTAAACAATTATAATAAAAGTATTTAAAAGGAAGGCAAATATGTTCTGTGTTAAATATGAGACAGCTGTTGCTGTTCAGCTTCCCTTTAGAAGTCTACGAACATATATACACATTTATTTTGGGCAGGAGGCTTCTATGGTTTGAAAATGGAAATTAATTTGAGGTTAGTTAGTTTGTATTAAAATAGCAGTTTAAGATGCTGTGGCTTTGTGATTGTATCTAGCGGGAAAAGAAAACACATCCAGCTCGCCAAAAGGTCCAGGGAAAGGACACAGCCAGGTAACCGAGCAAAAGCCTGGATGGTGCAGGCTCAGTACAGTGCAAGGCAGACCTGATTCAGCCTCATTAACCACGAATCTGAGCTGTGACCTGCCTTTGGCCTCAACTGGTTTTCAGCCAGCTGCTCTTCTCTGGCACCCAGGGTGATTTGCCATATACTTGTTAGTTGACTGGGCTGGTAGCCAAAGATGTTTCTTTCCCTTTTCTCATATTTCCAGAATAAGAGAGGTTTTTTTTTCCTCCTACATACTTTTCACATAAGAATGCGAAGTATAGTCCACCCACTGTGAATAAATTTAATTTAGCTGTCTTTATGTCTCTTTCGTTGCCATCAGCCAAAAGTCTGCAGTTCCGGGACAGATGTGTGAGCTGGGAAATCTTCCAGGTCTCTTTGTTGTTGTTGTTGTTGTTGTTGTTGTTGTTGTTGTTGTTGTTGTTATTGTTGTTGTTCTACCTCATGCCTAGCCACCCAACAATACACCGTATTTCAACAAGGCCCTTGTGTTGATGAACATCCCCCTGCTACATTGAAGATAGTTCATTATTCCCACCCTTTGCGAGGCAGGCAAGCTTAACATTTGAATTGTCTCTCACTATCACCCCTTCAAAAAGTTGAGCTTCACATTTCAGGGGAGGTTTGTTTTATTCATTGTGCTTTCTCACACTTTAAATCACATTACTGTGCTAGACAGAGTATTCCAAACTATGGTGATAATTTCCACAAATACACCACCCCAAAGTACCACTTAAACAAGTCAATGATGATCGGGAAATTAGCTTTAAATGAGGCTAGCTCTCTCAGTACAGGCCTGCTCAGTGACAGCCCAAAGCCTTAGGCATGTTTTTGCAATTCAGGTTCTCATTCTCGCAGACTCTGCAGATCATTTATATGGTGATATGTAGAAGGCAGAGCTAATACATTGTTCTCCTCTCTACCATAGGTGGTAAACACTCTGAGTTCTTCTAGTTAACAGGGACTCTGTAAGTCTCCCTTGAAACTGTTTGTGAGCTTAGGCACTGACTTCCATCTGGAATATCTGGACAGGTTATTTGATAGCACCACTTCCGCTTCATTGTTTCCAAGCACATTTCATTCTGATTTCTACACTGGAGAGAAAAATGAACAGTATCTCAAAGTTCATTTGAATGTGATAACATACAAACATACAGAATTCAGGGTATGGCTTGGGGGCTACTATTTTTGCTATTTTTTTTTAAACAATCTTCAGCTACAGCTGACAATGTTTGATGACAGAAAGTTGAAGAATATATCTTTTAGGTTCATCTAAGTAAAACTACGTGGTCTGTTTTCATTTGCTTGTGGCTCTCTGTTTCTAATTTATTACCTACATTTTTTTTTCCCAACCTGCAGTTGAAACCCGATGAAAGGATCATCAAAACGGACTATGGGCTACTGATCCGAAGCCTGCAGAAGAAGGACTCTGGGATGTATTACTGCAAAGCACAAGAACACACTTTTGTCCACACCGTAGTGAAGCTGACTTTAAATGTCATTGAGAATGAACAGATGGAAAATACCCAAAGGGCAGAACACCAGGAGGGGCAGGTCAAGGATCTATTGGCTGAGTCACGGTTGAGATACAAAGACTACATCCAAATCCTTAGCAGCCCAAACTTCAGCCTGGATCAGTACTGCGAACAGATGTGGTACAGGGAGAAGCGGAGACAACGCAACAAGGGCGGCCCGAAATGGAAGCACATGCAGGAAATAAAGAAGAAACGAAACCGAAGACATCACAGAGACCTGGAGGAGCTCCACAGAGCCATGGCTACATAGTTCTCTATTTAATTTAAAGAGAAAATTATTTTCCGGACTGAAAAATGCTGTCTTCTGTTTTGTACATCCCTCATTGCCAATCCATGCATGCCTTCTATGGAGTTTCATCTTAATGAGACTCTGTGGTAGATAGGAATTCATCTGGACTAGTTTTCTGAGAACAAAACTTTTTATCAGCAAAGTCAAGCATTGTCCTCAAATTTGGAGCCTTACATTTGTAAATGTTTTATATTTGAATTTTAAGTCATATATAGAAGTAAGCTAACTGAACATCATCCGGTCCAGTGGAAGGTGCTTTATTCCTAAGCATGCCCATTAAACATGGAGTTTATAGTGCAGTTGGCTATGTTTTGATGAGCAGCTAAATCATTCCATTCTAGAACGGGTGATCTTGTAGGAATTGGAAGAGAGGTACGAATTAAAACATCTTATGCTAGTGACAAGGAACCATCAGTCCACACTTGGAGTCAGGTATGAGAACTTAGAAAAGTATGTCCCTTCTTTCAGGCCACCGGCTACATCTAGTGCACTGCAATAGTGATTATATGAAAGGGTATTAATGATCCAAACAAGAGTCCTTGTGATTGGTCAAGAGAAACAGGTTCACAGACAGAACCTAATGGTTAATGTTGTGTTCTAGAATGCAGAATGCACAATTTCCATTTTAATAACATGGAGAAATATTTTATATATAGTAAGCGTGGCATGATGTGTGCACTATATTACAGAAGGGACTTCTTAGGCAGACAGTAAGATAGCCATAAATGCTGACTTTGGGGAAAACTTATATTACACAAAAAGGAAGGAAGCCAGAAACAAACTAGATAGAATGTAACGGAACTCTTTCCACTGGAGCATAGCTATCTCCCAACTTGTAATGTAGCCATTAAAAAAAGAGTCTAGATTATAACAAACTGTAAGCAAAACCTCAAGTGAAAGTAAAAATTGTAAAGAATTATGGGATGACACTATTTTATTTATAATCAATGTATTTCTGTGTTCTCTTTTTCTACGTATTTATCATATGCTGTATATTGTTTGCATTTATATCGTTATTTGGTTGTATTTGAGTAAACAGGAGTAAACAATATGTAATACATGCAGAGATAATTAAGTAGATGACCAACAGGGGGAGTGGGACTATATATTTGTTGAATGAATAGATAAGTGAAGAATTTTGATGACGGGAAGGGTTAACATAACTCTTTGACATCCTTTTCTTGACACAAATTTTCTGGATTTCTGGGGTGATACATTAGAGTTCAAGCAGTGTTGTTTTAGCAGTTTTACAAAGCAAGTCTGTAAAGAAAATGAACAGCATTAATGTGAATACCACTTGTATTTTGTTAGCACGTTTCAAATTCAATGTTCCCTCTGAACATTGCTTCCCTGCCAGTCTCTGCAGAACTCACCTTTCCTTCCTCGAGCACAAAGACCGTAGCCTTCCTCTGTTTGGCCTTTTCACACTCCTTATAGTGTGAAATGAACAATTAGCCACTTCCTCAGAAAGAATGTGGCTTTTTAGAAAACCAACAGACCTTACTTGTTTCTCATGCATTCTACACTCTCTGAAAGAAGTCTGTGAGAAGCCTGTGTGATTAAAGACCAGTGTTAGGGAGTCAATCTCTTTGTCCAATGCAGAATCAGGATCTTCTATTCATTTAATCTGCATTGGGCTCCTATCTCAAAGGCTTCCCAGTCAGCTGTGAGGGACTGGTATAATAATGAATATCTGTAGATGTTTTACACTAAGGATGAGGAAAAGTGAAGGAACTGTCTTAATAAGTGTACCAGAATGAATTGCATCTCCAGAAGAAATACATACAAATTCTTGTGCCATGGTTAGACTAGTAATCAAATACCACACAAGGGAGTTTATTTATTAATTTACTGTGAATCCTACAAACTGATGGCAAACTCAAAGCAAGTCCGAGGGGTCGTGCTTCATTTAAAAATTACTTTCAGATTGTTGTGTTTCAAAAAGTAATTCTCAAATATGGAATTATACAATGTTCTAATATTTGTACTGACCTCTGAAAATTAATTTTATCTAGATAAGAATATTGAAACCATTTGCTAATTACTTAGCTCAAATGTAATTGTTTCCTATCAACATTCTGTAAATCTATTTTATACCCTTGGTTTAAAATAAAATTTTTGCTGCTTTGAATACAAAACTACTAATGATGAATAAAATATATTATATAACCTACTAGTAAGATTACATAAGATAAGGTTATAAAATAAAAACGACATTTTATTACTTGTCCAGAACCCTTAGAAGAGTGTAAATATATAAACTGACAAATACAATGTTTACCTCCTTAACATCAGAAATAGAACCCTTATTGAAGTGAAGAAAGAGCAGACTATTGCTCACATTTTGAATATTCAAAGATACCAGATATTTCAGAAGAGACTCTAGAACAACCTAGGTATTGAATATATATATATATTCAATACATGTCTTTAATTTTCTTGTGTGTGTTTTGCTGAATTTTTATTCCAATCTTTTGTGCTGCTAAATGTAACTGTGCCCAGCTGAACTCATTTGCATTTAATTTATTAGGAATTTTAAGAGTTTGTTTAGAAATGAATAATCTAAAAAATAATTTTATGTAAAATACCTTTTTTTTTTTCTTTCCCAAAGAGCTCAGAATCCTACATTCAGGTCATTGAGTGAATTGTTTCAGGAGAAACAGTCAGACTACTTAAAATGCAGAAAGTTATAGGAAAAATTGAGCAATTTGGAGAAACCACAAGAATTCTCCAGGTATCCTTCAGAATTCCAGAATCAGTAAGATTTACTTCCAAAATGCTCTCTGTGATATGGCCACACATTGGGAGCTTTCCTGTCTTCTATAGCGTGACTCCTTGTATATTCTTACATTCTATTCCTCCCGATCTGGGGGCTTCAGGTAGAGAAGAGCAGGAATGACTGCTTGCTGGAATAACTCAACCCAGACTGAGTTCCCAGGACAGCCAGTGTCATTTCATTCACATGAAAACATAAAGTTAAACAAGACCACTCGGCAAACTGTGATTTTTCTTACACATGTATCTAAGGTGTATCTCACACATTTCACCAAGACAGATGCAAGTGGCCTTGGGAAGCCCCTGTCTTCAAAGGATAACATCTGCGGCCCCATTTGTCACCTTCGCAGTGCCTTAGCTGTCACGGGGTGTTTTCACTGAAAGATCTTCGGTGTGGATGATAGGCTTTTTTATATAGAAAGAAATATATATTTTCTCATAGTAGATGATCACAAATTACAATTTTCAGTTGGTATGTGAGGTTAAAAAGGCATACAATTTAAAATTCCCAGATTCTGCAAATCAGAAATTTAAGTACAGAAAAATACACAGTCTTTGTAACTCTGGATTAATTATTTTGTAATATAAAATATTTGTGAAAAGCTTGAAACATCACTTTTTGGGAAAGAAACATTAGCTTTTCAGAATCCACAGTTAATTTTAATTTTAACATTGTCAGTGGTTAGTAATCAATTTTGAATCTTTCTACTTTAAAAAAATGTAGTCTTGTAGTATAAGATAATTAAAATTATGAAATGTATATTTTGTTTGTATTATAATAAAACATAGGCTTTAGTGTTTGTTCTATTATTATAAACAGTGTTTTGTGTATGAATGTTTATTTCATAACTCCAAATATGGCAAGCAGATTTTCTATAATAAATTGAATTAAACAAAATAGGAGAAGATATTCCTGAGAGTTTTTATTAGGTATTTTAACTGTAAGTATGCAACAATATCATCTGTAAAACAACAAAACTTGTCTTTCCCACTTGACACAATTTTATAAACTTTATTACTACATATTTAGATTATTTTTTCTAAAGGGAGCAAAATTACCAGAAGTAACTGGTATTCTACAAGTAAAAGTATAAAAATGACATCTGTGAGTCAATATAGTTTTATATTAGTATATTTATCAAAGAAGTTAAGATGAGACTTTACTATAGTTTTTCAGATTTATTTTCAACTTGGCATACTCAGAAATTGCATTTTATTTTTGCAAGTAGATGATTGTACCATATTCCTACAAACATCTAGCTATACTATATGGAAAAGTATAAATTTTGCAAAGGTCCTGAAAAATTCAAACGAGTTAATAGTAACAAATAATTGGTAGGACCTTTGACTTAGTCTATATGAAACAAACTACCATAAATGAGGTAGCTTGTTAGCTAAGAAATTTTTCTCAGGGGCCAGGTGGTGGAAAGTCTTCGTCATTTAAGATACTAGTAGATCCTGTGCCTGGCAAGGGCCTCTGTGCCTTTCCATTGTATTCTCATGTGATGGAAGAGGCAAACAAACCCTTTGGTCTATTTTTAAAAGGGCACAAATTCAGTTATCAAGACCCTACATGCATGTGTTATGTGATATCTTGATTACATTTTGAACATAAAATTTGTTTTGAATTAGAGTGCAAAACTGGCCATTAGCTGACTAAAATTAACCATAGAGGTTTTAGACGACCTAGGAAATAGTAAAGCAGGGCTTAGAGAGGATCTCACTCCATCTGGAAGAAGGAAAGGAAGAAGTGGAAAGTCACTGGTGGCTGCTCCACCTCTTCTCAGATCTATCAGGTGCTTACCCTGATATCTGACTCCTGAGTTTTTATTGATAAAGATTATATAAACGTGTCACTCATGAGTTAACCACAGTGTTTGCTTCTTCATAATACCATCGATTTAGGGTTAGAATTTTAATATCTAAGCTGAGTTCAGGCTGAAGGTAACATTTGCTGTGTAACAGGTCTCCTGGTCCTATTTATACATCATTGTTATAATTAAAATCCATGGTGAAGAATTGAGAAAAAGCAGTGTTGACTGTTTGGATCATGAAGATATTTGACTACTCTCTAACAAGAAGAATCTAGAGTGTAGAATTAGATGGAGAATGGAAAATTCTTTCAGAGCATCTGCTGCTTGTACCACGTGCCACAATCCATTGAGAACCCCCTGCCCAGAAGAGAAAGCTATAAATAAAAGGTCCTCCCATTAG